ATGTTACAAAATATCTAAATATTAAATTCGAGATATACACAGAATCAGCAAAAAATAATATTGAAAATCTCGGAAATTATTGGAATAGATTAAGGATTTCTTCATTAAGGGTACTTAGGTAATGTTTAGTGAGATTGAATGAGAGAGCTCTATTCTTCAAAATCGCTTCACAAATAAAGGTTTAGATTAGGGTGCTAGATCTTTGATTAAGTCTTCTTATGTGATAGTGCTTAATGCTTACTACGCCTTGTTAGAAAAGTTAGATCTTAGGCTTTTTAGTATTGCACTTAGGGTGTTTGCTAGAATGCTTGAAAAAAGTTTTGGTTGATGTAATGTCTTGCTTAACTTGTGCTTAAGACTTAGTATAACATTGATGGAAATTGTGTTTAGATACTGATTATGCATCGCAAGTGTTAGTTAGTGTCTGAACCATTGCTTAAGAGATGAGTAAGCTTGGCCCAAGGAATTGGATTCTAAGATGCTTATTAGGCTTTAAGGACTTTGTACTTTATGCTTATTGAAAGTGGGTTGGGAGTGTAATTAGTAAAGGGATTTTTGCCAAGGGATTGGGTTAGTTTTTATTAGTAGGCTTACTTAGAGTTTAATGCATTGATCATTGCTTGAAGGCCTTGTTCTTGATTTGGTTCCACTTTGCTATTCACTAGTCTTGAACCTTGCTTTTTGATTTTTACTTTAAGTGTTTTGCCTTAATGTTCAGCTCTGCTTTCTTGATATGTTTTGCATTTCTTGTTCATCTTTAGGTTGTTAGTTTAAATCCCCTTTTTATATGTTTAGGCCTAGCTTAACAAATTTTCTGCATCTCATATGTTCCTTAACCCGTTGGATTGGATTGATAGCATTTTTAAACTACAATGGCATGATAACAAATAAACACTTCTTTCAGCTGCGCGACAAAACAGCATGCTCCTCCCAAGAACACACTTGCCATTCAGACACCACAAGAATTGAGACCGCCTACTCGCAGACTTTTTCTTCTTGATAAATTCTCCAACCTCTTCCCTCCGGGGTACGTCACAAGCACATTTTTAAAATCTAGAAACTTCCGGGTAAGCACAACGCAAAGACTGTCCAGGCAATAAGGAAGTCGAAGTAATGTCCTCGGGAAACGCCTTACTCTGCACCAGCTGCACTCGAGTAGCAACTCCCCCTTGTGTTAGCGCCCGGCAATGCAGGGAACATCTATTCATCTGCTCAACGGTGCCACCCTTGGCCCTTAGGTCGGTGTCTTAAATATAATCCCTCTCCCTTCAAGAACTTAGCTTCGCCTAGACTAGTACCATACCCTTTAGGATACGCTGCAAGGTCGCCGCGTTAACATGGCCTTTTCACAGCAAGATACATAGGGAACCGGATAACTTTGTTCATTGTGCAGGAAACCTAAGGAAGTCGACTCCCCGACTCATTTCCCAATCAGTCGAGAAGTCGGAAGAAACTGTTGGACTGATTTTACCACATCCAAGGATATCACGACACGTGAACGTCGAACCACCCTAGACATTGACATAGCTAGCTAGCTGGGCCAACAACTCCCAAACACTGTTTTCGGCCAGTTGGCGAGCTTCCCGAAACATGCATGCGCCACAAACCCGTCTGCTCTTCTAGCATGCCAAACAAATAAGACAGGACGGAAAAGACCTGTATAAAAGGGAGGAGGAAGGCCGGAAAAAAAAAGGAAGGGGGGGACCTCCTCAGAATCTGATCGAAGAAGGAAAAGGTCCAACTCTGACCTGGGCAGACCTATACAGCAAAGTCAAAAGGAGACTCCCCCATTCTCCTGAGATGATGCCAAACAGGATAAGTCCTTTCTTCACTCGGAACCCTGCCTTTGTACTCACTGAATCCCCTTTTCCTATCATAGAACTCTTTTGAAACACTCGTAAACAGATAGATGCTTCGATCCCTGGATGAGACATTTAACCTGAATCCGTACAAATACCCTTTTGAGTATCTGTTCCCAGTAGGGCATTCATTGACTTGGGCGTCGTAAAACTTTTGAGAGAAAAATCTTTTTCGGTCCTCTTGAAGTCCCGACTGACCTTTTGTGTAGTATTTGTTGGCCCGCACAGGTCTTTATCTGTGTTCGCAGGACTTGGACAGTCTTCCGCTCCAGAACAGTTCATCGCTTTTCTCCCAAAAGACGAAATTCGGAAGTACAACTCCACTCTCCAAACGAATGATACATCTACATGTGGTATCCCAAAATTTGCTTTCAAATAATAATATAATATATAACATATAGAATGTCGAAGCAAAGAAAAACAGTACAAACAAAAAATGATAAAATGATAAATGGCGAAAAATTATTTTTCACTTCTTTTTTTTGTTATAAGGGTACAATAGATAAATCACAAGAGATTAAAATAATTGATTAAATTTTCAAATATGATAGTTATAAATTTTATTATAGTGTAATATACAGTAGTTATTTGACTAAAGAAACTATTTTCAAAAAGGTTAGATTTCTATTTCACTCAATGTTGTGAATCCTGAACTTGATAATTTATCAATTCAAAAAAAACTTTATTCTATGTATGATCTTCTAATTTTTTTAATGCAAAAATAACAAGAATTTTCACTATATTAATTAAAATTAAAAAATACTAATTTTTATCTTTTACTAACATACTAATTTTTTTGGTTAGATGGTTTTTTAGTTTATTGATCATAATAAATGTAGTGTGAACTCAATATTTAGATACAGTTCGACAAAATCTCCTTTATATAAAAAGGATAGATTTTCTGCTCTCTAAGGAGTGTTACATAGGTAAAAATAATCACCAAAATAATTAGCCAATAATAATATAACAAATTGCCACATCGTTAAATTATAAAAAAACTAACTAATAAAAATAAGACAATATGCCACTCATCTCATTTATATAAAAGGAAAAGATTTTAAGGCTTGTAAGGACTACCACATCAGCAAAAATAATCAGTTAATGATAGACTCCAAAATTGCTATGTTATTTTTTTCAACTAATAACATAAAACCATTTCAAAAATAATTTATTAATCAAAACTCCTTCAAATTTTGCCTAAAAAAAACTTGCATAATTCTTAAATTCTCAACAAAGGAAGAAAAGAACGAAGCCCAAAACAAAAAAAACTGAAAATAAGATTTCAAAGCTTCTAAGGATTGTCACATCAGCAAAAATAATCAGCTAATGATAGACTCCAAAACTGCTATACTTCTCAATTTTCAATCTTCTCGCCTCCAACTCACCAGAAACGGAATTAGCCGTTGCTAAACACAAACTTTACTTTTTAATTAATGACAACCAAACTGGCAATAAACAATAAAGCTTAAATAACTGGACCAAAAACATCTGGAAATCCAAAAAATATAGCAATGAGGATGTAAAAAAAAAAAGATATAGCAATGAGACACATAAGGTATAAATAATATACAACTATATCACAAATGAAGTCTAATGTGTCTCATGCTATTAATGTAAGCAACATAAATATACAATCTCACAACTGTTTTGCATCTTATTTATAATATGAGTCGAGCAAGAATGAGTCTCAGTCATAGTATTGTTGGAGCTAGAGAACGTCTACCTCACCAAAAGTAAAACTTGAAGAGTGACTCGGTTTTCTTTCTTCTAGAAAAAGGTAATTTAATCAATTGTAAATTTTTGATCTTATAACAGATCTCAAGTTTCTAAAGCTGATACAAAGTTTCATATTGTTCATTGTAACCAGACATTGTGGAGAAATCGACGTAAAAGCCTAACTAAAGAACCAGTGATTGAAGAAAGTTACTCACAATTTCTTAATTCTCATTTGCAAAAGTTCATGAAACATAAAACTGAAATTTTTTTCCAAATTACATATAACTATAAACTTCCACACTCTTCACCTATATTGGCAAATGATCAAGCTAGCTAAACTATCAAACTAATATTATATCAAGTAATAAAGAACTCATATAATGAAGAAGTTTACTATTAATCGCCATTTGTTTTATTTGTTGAATATATGAACTAATTATAAAATATCTATGTACACACTGAATCTTTAAAAATTGATAATTAGAGAAATGCATAATATATAAAAATTAAAAACAAAATCCTAAGGTACATGAAAAATGAAGTATGAATTGAGTTTTTCTTTTTAAAAGCATCAAACTAAGGGAAGATTATGCAAAAAGTTTTTATAAGTGTATACCTATGATGTTCACTAAATAAATGACATTATAACGTAACATGTCCAAATTTAGACAATATATAGTTTATGTAGATACTACTCACATAATCAAAAAATATAACAAAAATACACATCAAAATTGCATATATTATAAAATGGTCAAATTTTACCTTTTATATTTGCAAAAATATGCATTAACTCTTGAAAACAAGTTCAACTAAGCCAAAAATACATTGATCTACCTTCAAATTATTATACAAAAATTTTGATTATCTTTTCACACACATATATATATATATATATATATCTGATATTTACTTCACTCTGTATTTAAGAATCACATGTAAATACACTCTATAATTTATCACAATATTAAATACAAAAATAATTGACAACCTTTTATAAAACTACAATATCGAGTGGACAAAACACTAGTAACCCCAAAACTTTTTGAAACAATACAAAGAATATAGATGGTCTTTCAATTTGAAGAAAAAATAAACATTAGAATCACAATTTAGTAAATTGTTTTAACGAATATACGACAAAAAAAAAACCCATAATAATACAACTATTCTAAACAAACATAGCTAGAAAGTAGACAGAGTAGAATACGAATAGAAAACAAACCGGCGCATTGATCCCTAATCTAAAGAAAGGATGATCTAAAATCAAAAGACCATAAGTCTTGCCATAAAAAATGAATGAAACTTTACAATATAATAACTTACTGAGTACAGCCGATCTGGCTTCAGTTAAAAGAGAACAAGCCCGAGATGTTGTCTCCGACATGATCCACGAACCGTAACTTGAGCCAAGATTCGGAAACGTTAACCATTGTACTTGCAGAGGTTTTCGAAACCCATGTACTCGTGCCGTTGGAATTTGCCAATCATGTTCACTATTCCCACGCCACCTACGAACAAAGATAACAACATTACACATCTCCCGGAAGTTGATAAAGATCTCCCACTAGCTGCGCAAGTTATATGTCACATCCAATTCGATTCAGCCACAAAGATCCAGATAAAACAAAAGCCTATGGAGCAAAGGTAGTGTGACTCCCACACGCACAAATTAGCAGGAAGAGTATGATTAGTTCAGTATTAGTTGAGAATGGAGGTCACATACCAAGCGATATCGCGCTGATAAAGATCATGGAAGCGAGGATGAAGATGATGAGAGATGCTCGGCCAAGAACTGTAATCAGTCTTCTGACTACATGTTGCCCAACCAAAGCAGCAAGTGTTGCCACTCCCACAAAGTACAGAGCTGGCAAAAAAAGTAAAGCAGAGACATCGTGAAGTTAACAAGCCCGATGTAAGAAAACAGTCTTAATGACAGAGAACTCACCATATGGAACAGGGAATCGTTTGAGAAGATAGTATTCTACAACAGACATGGATGAAGAGAAAGTCATTGCAAATGTAGCTGTTGCACTTGAGACCTACAAGAACCAAGTAGAGATTCAGTGATAACAAGAACAAGTAGATATTCTTGATTATGATGTTTGTCTGTAATAAATTTAACACCTGTGGAGGGACACCGAGCTCCAGAAACAATGGGCCCATGATGAAACCTCCGCCTAAACCAAGTAGACCGCCGACTATGCCCGCTAATACGCCGAATGTACAGTAAAGAAGAAGCTGACCAATGGTCAAACTCGAGTCTCCTTGTCCCTTAGAAGCAATGATTCTTCTACCTTGGTACAAAGCTACTGCTTCATAGCCTGATACACCAACTGCAACAGGAATCTGCGTGATTGTACGAAAATGTAAGCATCTATAAGCACTTTACATGGATCTCTCAGCAAACAAAACTTTAAGTCATTGAGTCCGTACCTGTAACAAGTTTATGACCCAATATGCTACTGAACAAGTAGCCATGTTTTGCTGTTTTCCATTAAAGAAACATGAAAAAGTATCAATAAAGTTTGAACTATGAACAAGTGTATGCTCAATTGATACATTTAAATGTTAATTAACCTTAAATATCTGAAGTGACAAGAAAACAACCCAGACGAAAACGAGAAGTCCTAGTTCCTTCCAGTATACATTTTCAATAATACTGACCTGCAGTACAGCAACATGGTTATTGTGACATAACTTGCAACCGTATTAAATGAGAAGAGACTGAAGCGGCGGATCAAGTAACAGTATTGTAAAGAGAATGACATTTACTTCTTCTTTCTTCTTGTTTCCATTATTGGTGCTCGGAGCTGAGGGAAGAGGCACGTACTTAACTTCTGTGCCAGATACACCTGATGAGAAGGTTGATTACGTGAGCAGTGTTAACAAACACAGATGATGTTAAAATGGTAATATATAACTCACCGTTTGACTCTAAACGCTTAGCAGCTTCCTGTTACACACACAAAAACAGAGATATTTTTTTATGGTTATTCATTAAGATTGGTACTTTCTACCATTAAATGATACAAAAACCAAAAACTGGTGCATCGCAAGAAGTTTAGTAAAGTACATTTTTCTCTATAGTTTCCTTCTTCCAAGTCTCACAACCTTTCAAAAACGCCTTTGTTGATGTACCTGCATATACATTGACAATAGAATAGTCAAATTCTACCTCTAACCACCAATGGAGAAAGGCCATATATCTCTGCGTCTTACCGAGAAAGAGTATGATGAGTAGAACAGTGACCATCCAATCTGGGAAAATCACATTGAAAGCAACACCAACGCTGATTCCGAGCATAAGCATGGGCTGGATCAAGAGCGCGAGATCATAGTCAATGATTGGCATATCAAGCGTAGGATGCCTCAATCTTAGGTTGTAATACACAGTTGACACAGAAGCTCCCATGATCATACCTATAAAACAATGATCAAATCATAAATGAAAACTAAAAATCGTCTAAAACAATGTCGTATCTTCACTCTTAGCCTATAAAAATGATCAAGATGAAACAAATGAAAACTAAAAAAATCATCAAGAAAATACACCAAATAGAAAATGTAGAATGGTCACTCATGAGCCTACAAAAATGATCAAATCATATAAATGAAAAACACCAAAGAGAGTGTAGAATGTTTACTCATGAGCCTACAAAAATGATCATACAAATGAAAACAGAAAAAAACACCAAAGAGAAAATGTAGAATATTTACTCGTGAGCATACAAAAATGATCAAATCATAAAAATTAAAAAAGTATATTTCCTCAAAGAAAACACCAAAGAGAAAATGTAGATTGTTCACTCACGAACCTACAAAAATGATCAAATCATACAAGTGAAAACTAAAAATCCTTAAGAAAAACGCCAAAAATGTTCACTCTCGAGCTTAGAAAAAATTGATCAAATCATACAAATGAAAACTAAAAATCCTCAGAAGGCACACACCAAAGAGAAAATGTAGAATGTTCACTCATACAATCCTCAACAAAAAAAAACACCAAGTGTTCTTACATTTTGACATCGCTGTGGCTGATTTTGGATCAAACCCAATAATCAAACTGAGCATTGGCACGAAGATCCCACCACCACCAACACCTCCTACGCTACCAAAAGCAGCACCGAAGAATCCAACGAGTGTGCCGATAACGATTTGCCAATTAAACTCATATTCCTTGGAAATTGATTTTTATTTTCCCCATTAGAGTTTGATATAAACAAAGAGAAAGCAGAGAAGATTGATGGCGAAGAAAAACTTACGGGCCAGATATGATGATAACCTGTTTGATTAGATTCCCAGAGAAAATTCACAGCTCTGAGGTAGAAACTGGGTTCATCATCACTTTCCCGCGTTTGTGATTGTGAGAGAGATTTTCCTTTGAAGCTCCTCTCAGCCGAAACGAAAGCGAAAGCTGCGAAATTGATCAAAAGTACGATTACGGATCTCAGACTCCAACACCTGGATCTAAAATCCGCCATTGTAATTCGAAAAACCACAGCAAGGTTTTCAACGATTAAATCGATCTGTGTTTATTTTATATATACACCGAAAACTTGAGAAGCTAAGAGAGAATCAGAGCCATGGATTTGAAAAACGAAGAACAATAGAGAGAGGAATTGAGGAAACTGAATTTTGAGTACGTGAGAGAGATCAATGGAGAGGAATCTCTCTGAAAGAGAAATGCCAAGTAGACGACGACTGATTCCGTATGTTGCTTTTCTATATTTTTTTAGAGAGATTTACATATAAAATGCACTTTATAAGTTTTAGTTAAAAAAAAGACACTTTGTGGTGGAGAAGAGTCATTTTGTCTACCATTAATAATACATTAATCCGATTTTATTTTATTTTTTATTTATAGTTGTCAACGTATGTTCATCCACATAGTCAGAATATCTAGTTATTTATTATAATATACAAGTTTAATAGAGTTCATCTATAAATGATATGCAAAATGGATATATAAAATCATATTTAGTTGTTCACGAAGGTTCGTCCATGAAAGACATACAGAATGGATAGACAAATTCAAACAATACATGTTTGGCTGTCCATGAAGGGTCATCTATGTGAGCTTGAGCTTCATCGATCTCAAACCAATCTAATGAACGTATGAAGTTATCCATATATATTTATCTACGTGGTCAGAATATTTACTCATTTGCTATAGTATACAAGTTTCACAGAGTTCATCCACAAAAGATGTGCAAAATAGATATACAAAATCATATTTAGCTATCTACGAAGGTTCATCAACGAAAAACATGCAAAATTGATAGACAAATTTAAACAATACATGTTTGGTTGTCCATGAATGATCATTCACGTGAGCATGAGCTTCATCGATCTCAAACCAGTCCAGTGAATGTTTAAAGTTGTCCACAAAAATTTATCTACGAAGATTCATGACGAAGTGTTATGGTTATCCACAAAACTTCATACACGTGGTCTAGCGATTCTTGACATTTGATTTTATATAAAAAAAAATAAAATGGTTATTTAACATGATGAAAGTACCTCTTCTCTTCTAAATGCCGTAATTTGTAATTCAAGTTTGTAAAAGTATCTTAAAATATAATTTACTCATTTTTTAATCTGATCTGTATTTTTTCCTTTTTCTGTTTTTATTCCACTTGAAAGTTTGAACGTGCTAAATGCTAGATTGAGGTGACATAGGAGGTGACCATTTAAGTCAAAATCAACTTTCAAGCCAACTAGCTGTTTTTCATTTAAATAGAGATAAGGGTTGTCATCAATGACGCCAGTAATACATCTTGTGTATGTAATTCTGAAAATAATAATTTTTTTTAATACGAATGGTGATAGAAAATTGGTCAAAATGAGACAGAATAGGACAAACAAATTGAACATAATGGTATAGCTTTTTTTTGTTGGTCAAGAAACGTAGTGATATAGTTTAAGATGCAGTTTATGCAAAGAAAGAACATCATCTATTTGTATAATAAGTGATGAATCACAATGTTTGATTGATGATTATAATAATTGTTAATTGTAAATAATGTAATGTATTAATATTTTGAATAACCAGAAATATTTTTTATTATTAATTGATCTGTAGATTGAATAGTAAAAACCAAGAACAACTCAAAGCCATGGTTTGAAGAACAAAAACGAAATTGGAAGAATCAGAAGGTCCAGAACCATATGAACCTGAAAGGAGCAATAGAGAAAATAGAAATTGAAAGGGAAAATGTGTCGCTTCTGAGTTCTAATTACTTTGCAAGCGAGATCAGAACTAAAATTTTTTGTTTTGTTTTAGAGCGACAGGTTCATATATATAATAATTTCACAATTTTCTCGATAAATAGTCAAGAGAGGAAAAATAGAATGTGAATAAAATAGAGGAATTAGACTGATATTCGTATCTTTTTTGAAAAAGGCCTTCATATTTAATTGCAATAGAGGAATTAGACTGATATTCGTATTTTACTTTTTTTGTTTATTTTAATCATCGAGAGTTCGAAACCTAGACGTACTAAACTAAAGTGACGTACGATAATTGACCATTAAACCAATAAGCTTAGTCGCTTATGTTATGTGATTTTTTAACGATTCGGGCTTTGCCCATTTGAATAAGTTTAAATGAATTAATTTGGTTATTTATGTTATTAAAGTGCACTTATCTTTTCGGTCACAGATCCTGAGAGAACTCCACAGTTAATGGTGCTTATGTTGGAGTAGGACTAGGATGGGTGACCTTTCGGAAAGTGATTCCCGAAACCGTGTGAGTGAGGCCAAAACACGGGGAAAGATCATGTGGTGATTGCAGGGTCAATAAATAAGTCGGTTAGGCACCGGAAAAAGTAACGCACTGACCGTCGGACAGGGGCGGGGCCCACGAGCCCGACAGAGGGATGGGTGACTCGCCGGAATGGGCGGTCGGGGGCGTTACAAGTGGTATCAGAGCCTGGAAAGTCAAACTGGTTCTGTCTCAGGAGACTGTCTTGGGGTTTGAGGGTTAAGGCTCACGTTATCGGGATCAGAATTCGAAGACGAATTCCCGTTTAGTAGGGAAGAATTGTAGCGACCCGGGCCCGGCCCATTTGAATAAGTTTAAATGGATTAATTTGGCTACCTATGTCATCAAAGTGCAATTATCTTTTTGGTCACATGTCCCGAGAGAACTCCACAGTTAAGGGTGCTTATGCTGGAGTAGGACTAGGATGGGTGACCTTTCGGGATGTGATTCCCGAAACCGTGTGAGTGAGGCCAAAACACGAGGAAAGATCATGTGATGATTGCAGGGTCAGTAAATAAGTCGGTTGGGCACCGGAAAAAATAACGCACTGACCGTCGGATAGGGGCGGGGCCCACGAGCCCGACAGAGGGATGGGTGACTGGCCGGAATGGGCGGTCGGGAGCGTTACAATTTGGTATCATAGCGGAGGTTTGCCAAACCGGTTCTGACCCAGGAGGCGGTTTTTAAAAAAAAAAAAAAATAATAATAATAATAATAATAATGTTTTATTCGGTTTGAGTATATGATTATGGATTTATTTGTTTATCTCGGATTTGTTAGAATATATTTTAATATATGTATATATACGTAAAAAAAAATGCTGATTTTTTAGACTTTCGATTTATTGATTAATTTTTTATTAATACTAAATATTTTAAAAGTATTATTCCTTTATTTTTTTTTATTAAAGTGTTCGAGAGTTATTGATTAATTTCAAAAATATTAAGTATTTTCAAATATTATTAAGTTAAAAAAAAAAGGGGAGAGTTTTAGAAAAAGAAAAAAAAAGAGCACCACCGGGATCGAACTTGCTTTGGTTTGTGTTGTTGGTTGTTGCATTTAGTTAGTCTTGAAGAGTCTGACCATTTGTTGTTTTTATTTAAAGATGCCGCCAAAGAGAGGACGTGGAAGATCTGCTGTTCGCCCGAGGGCAAGAGTGGAAACCCCAACTGCATCGTCCGAAAGTGTGCACAATGAGAATTTAGAGCAAGTGAATACTGCTGAAGCAGTAGCAGCTCAGGAAAATACGAGAGCCACTGAGCATGCAGCTGTGTTGGAAGAGCTTCAGAGGTATCGAGCTCAATTTGGTAATTTGCCCGAGAATCCAGTGGGAAGAGGAGCTGCACCCCCACATGTTGAGCCGAATGTTGCTGCACACAACCAGCATCCACCTCCGCCACCTGTTGCACCAGTGCCAGCCAAGGGACTAACGTATTGGGAGGCCATGGACCGTTTAAGAAGCATGGACACAGATCTCTTTGAGGGTAAGTCCAACCCAGCAGCTGCGGATAACTGGAAGAAAAGATTGGAGCAGAACTTTGATGCTTTCAGGTGCCTAGTGGAGTATCGTAAGGATCTGGCAGTTCAGTATCTGAAAGATGAAGCACTAGTATGGTGGGATGGTGTGGTGAAAGCAACGCGAGGGCGTTATGAGCTGAACTGGGATGACTTCAAGGAAGAGTTTTTCAGGAAATACTTTCCGCGTGAAGCCATGGATCATATGGAGGGTGAATTTCAGGATCGTCGTCAAGGGAACCGAAACATCAGAGAGTATGAGGAAGAGTTCAACCGCTTGAAAAAATTTGCAAGCAAGTTCATGGATGAACAAGAGGAGATTCGTAGGTTCATAAAGGGAATGCGGATTGAGCTTAAGAACCGTTGCCAGTTGAGGACTTACAATGACATGGTCGAGTTAGTTGAAATCGCAGCAATGTAGGAAAAAGGGTTAGAGGAAGAACTTAAGCAGAATAAGAATGTCCAAGCAAAGGCAGACAAAAGAGCGGAAAACCATAAGAGGACATGGGACACTGCAAATGCAGGACAATCATCAGCCACACCTAATGTGTGCGAAACGTGTGGGAGAAGGCACCATGGATTTTGCAACAAGAGGAATATCGTTTGTTACAAATGTAATCGACTGGGGCATTATCAGAAAGACTGCACATGGAGGGCACAACCTTTCAGAGGATGTCATCGTTGTGGGCAAACTGGTCATATCGCTAAGGACTGCATGACTGAGCTACCAGGTCAGCAGCTAGGAGACCGTTACCAGGGACAGCTACCTTCACCACCAGTGAGGCTGGCGATAGCACCGTGCGCTTTTATTGCTGGAGACCATAATGGCGCCGAACCGATTACCGGTACGTATTGTTTTATTTTTACTTCCATCATGCTTAAGGACTGTGGTAAAAATTTGTGTGTGAAGTTGAATGGCATGCTTAGTCATAAGTAAAATATATGTGAAATTGGTTTTAGTTGGGGGTAGGCTAGCCTTACGCTTTCTAATACCTGTGCGGCACACAGTTTTGTGAGCCAGGGATTGACAAAGTATTGGACCTTTGCGGAAATATTTTTTTCCCACAGAAGAAATAGATTCAGAAAGATGGTACAGATAAGTAGAGTCTATCGGGATCTACCATTATACCACAAGGGATGGAGTTAACGGAAATCCCAGAGAAATGGAGTTCGACTACTACGACATGATTTTAGAAATGGACG